GGGGTGGTGGTGGTGGTGGTGCCACTGGCATACACCTGCTGCTGCGATGCTGATGGGGTGGCACTGCTGCCCGCGTAGCGATCGTTGTTGAGAAACTCCTCCTAAACCCAACACACACACACACACACACAGGGAGAGACATACTATGGCCACCGTGTTCTACCCGTTGTCTTGTCTCTGCCTCTGTTGTGTGCTGACTGACTGACCATGGGTGTCTGATCCTTGCGCTTCTGTCCTGCGGGTGTCCCATGCCATGGCCTGGCTGTGAGTCCGCCAGCCCCGGTGGCCACGTTGGGTGGCGTGGCCATCAGGGGCGGTGGCTCGGTGGTGTAGGCCGGGGCGGTGGGCGTCCAGGGGTCCACGTAAAGGGCCGTGGGCGCCTGCCCTGGACGCCCAGCCGACTGCAGCGGCCGAAGGCCTCGACCCAGGCCTGATCCTGGCGCCAGAGACGACACGCCTGACACACACACACACACACATTGACATTGTATCTGTGTGTGGCATGTGTGTGTGTGTACCTTCGGTCTGCAGTGTCTGCTGCTGCATATAGCCGGTCGTCTGTGCACCACTGTATCCCTGCTGCTGCCCGATGGCCGGCGGCTGGGGGCTTGAGGACGCCTTGGCCGCCTCGGTCAGCAGAGACAGCAGCTGACGGGCAGTGATCCGCTCGACGGGCGCATCCAGGTCAAGCCCCGGGGGGATGGCACCGGTGGCCCTGTCGGTAGTGGTGATGTCCTGCTGCTGCTGGTGATTGTTGTCGCCTCCGAGTGCGCCCGCGCCCCCGGCCGCCAGTAGATCGAGGAGCAGCTGCTGTCGGTCATGGTCACCACCCCCACCTCCACCACCAGATGGCGGCTGCTGCTGCAGGGTGCCAGTAGTGCCGTTGTGGGATGAGCCCGTGTGTGGTGGGCCGGTGAAGGGCTGCATCACCCCGGTGGCCGAACTGGACGAGCTGTTTGTGTGGCTGGGGGACGCACCCGCTGGCTGCCGATGGTTGCCCGTGTCGCCCGCACCCCGGGGAGGCTGTTGCTGTTGCTGTTGCTGTGACTGAAAGTCCATGGGTATGAAGGAGGGGTTGTTGGCCTGTCTCTCCCACGAGAAGGGCGTCACGCCGCCGCCACTCGCTGCTGCTGCTATAGCTGCCTGCTGTTGCTGCTGGCTCTGCTGCTGCTGCTGCTGCTGTTTGTCGTCTTGTTGGCAGATAGATCCTGCTGAAGGGAGGTTGATAGTGGGCGAGAGGTGAGACGGGAGGGGCACAGGCATCGCACGGACCCCCCACACTCCGCTACCGGCCGAAAGGGCGGGCGGGGCGGGCGGATGGAGGGAAGGGACGATGGAACGATAGAAATAAGAGAGAGACAAGGAAAGGATGAACCCACGCAACGCAGCGATAAGGGCAGGCCACGCCGATGGATGGGGGAAACAGAGGATCAGGCAGGCAGGCAGACAGACAGGTAGGAAGCTAGGTCGGTAGATAGAGGTAGAGAGGTGCTATTTCAGACTAGTCCAGAGAGCACTATGGGATGTTGGCAGCCACCGATGACCGACCGACTGACTGACTGACACACAACACACGTGTCTGCAACACACACAACGCAGAGCGGCGAGAGACGTGATGCCAAACTGACCCCACCGGCGGGGCGCACCCCTTCCTCTTATGTGTCACCCACCTTAGCTGATCCGTCCTCACTCAAAGATCCCTCCCTCCCTGCAGCAAGCAACACAACGGACACACGCGAGACCATCTCATCAGTCCCCCATTCTCGTCACAGCGCCCACCCTCGCCCCTCCTGCCCCCTCCCCCAGGTGTCGTGTGTCTGTCTGCCCACCTTGCTTGCTGTCCTCAACCAACGCCACAGGGGGGGTTGAAGCTGAAAGATCTCCAGTCCTCTTCCGAGTCAGGCCAGTTTTGTCCAGATGAGAAAACCCAGTGGCGTCACATACACACCGGGAGGTCAGCCATCCTCTCCCAACACTTCCTTCCTTGTGCCAAATCTTGCGAGTTCAAAGCTCGCAAAGGGTATGCAAGCTTCCCTCAGGGCAGCAGTTTTCTACGACGCGCACGAGTCACAGGAGCATTCATTCGAGTGAGAGGAGCATCCGGTGCGCCTTTTTCTTCGTTGGATAGCCCGAGCAGCTCATGTCGAGCCGTGGGAAGGCCCCTCCTCCGGCAGCGCCGGCCGCCAAGGGTTCGTCTGGTGGTGGTGAGGGCAGCCCGCCGCCAGCCGGCCCCTCGATGCCCTCGTCGCCCCCGCCTGTGACCTCGACCAACGTCCCGGGGCAGCGCGTGATTGGGGAAGAGGAACGACCCATAGAAGACAGACTCAAGGTCAGGGAAATAAAGAGACAACAAGCCGGGCAGGGAGGGAGGGAGGGAGGGAGGGAGGGAGAGGCGTGCATTCTCACGTCATCCATCCGCTCGTGTGTATGTCAATCAATCAATCTGTGTGTCATGTCGTGTCGTGTGTGTCCAACTTCACTTGTGTGTCTACTGTATCAGGACCTGTACAACTTGAGCCACGCCCCGCTGCGCGGCACGTCGTTTTACAGCATCGAGAACTTCCAGCAGAGCCAGCTAACCATCCTCAAGCTCGCAACTGAGTTGGCATACATACAGAAACTCTCCAGCGAGGGCATGTAAGAAGGAAACAGATATGGGCGGGCACACACACCCGCACAACGAGCGACTCAACTCACTCGTGTGTGTGTGTGTGTGTGTGTGTTGTCCACAGCAAGCATTTCAACGAGGCGTTGTTCCAGGAGGTCGCCAGATTTCCAGACCAGGAGCTGGAGAAATCAAAGGTCCAGAAGCCGGGCAAGGCGGGGAGGGATGCATTAAGGGATGCACCACACACGTGTGTGGGCGTTTCTTTGTTTGTTGTGCAGGAGTTGGGTGCGATATTGTTTTGTCTGCACGCCTTCATCACCCGACTGCAGCAGCTTCTCGTCACGGCTTCTTGGATGGTATGGTCCGGCCGCACTGCACTGCACTGCACCACAACACTGCACACCAACTCACACCAATCGACACCCACACACAGCCACGTAGGTCAGTCATCTGCCGCATGTGTCTGTGTCTGTGTGTGTGTGTGTGTGTGCCTTCAGAGCGGCAAGTTGTTGCAGCGTCGTGCGGGCGTGGAGCAGATGATCGCCAACCTCTCACAGGGGGAGGCGGCAGACGACAACGGACAGTCCCGCCGGTAGGTACTGTACCCACCGATGTGTCGGTGTGGTGAACCCATGCCATCCCATTCATCCTCACCTTCTGTCTGTCTGTCTGTCTGCAATATATATACACAGGCGCAGTTTGCCCGGTGGGCTGTTTGACATAGCTCCTCCGCCGCCGCACCCCCACCAGCCGCTCTCTCTGAGCGCCGGCAACGAGATTCCTCGCAGGCGATCCAGCAGCGCGTCTCCTCACATGCAAGCATACAGCTACCCTTTCAAGGTCTGTCTGTCAGTCAGTCAGTAGCCACTGACTGTACTGTAGCCAGACAGCCGACAGACACACCAGCCATTGATTGTATTTCGCTTCCTCCGTGTGTCAATATATCAGAGCCGTCGTGTGTTTGCGAATCGTTCCAACTACGCCTACCCCGACCTGGACCTCAACCTCATCGACTTCGGTGCATCGCCCCTCTCGTCGCCGCGTTCAGTGCCCCGTCCCTTTGGTCCGGCGGGTCGTGAGGGCCAGCTGCCGCCCGCCAAGGAGGACATGGGCGCCAACGGCCTGGGGGCGGCCAACGGGCAGGACCAGCGGAGCGCGTCATACCAGTACCACTACCACTACCACCTCCCCAGCGACGTGCAGGCCGCTAGAGTGGGGCAGCAGGCCGTGCAGGGCGGACAGCAGCGGGCCGGGGCGCCGGGACGCAACGGCAAAAATGTATGTTGGCAGCCAATGAGATCACTGGCAAAGCAGAGGGAAAGAGACACCGACTGCTGATGTTGTGTTGTGTTTGTTCCTCAGTTGATGTATGGCGCCCCAATGGGTATGATGGGCGGCCCAGCGATGGGGACGAACGAGCCCATCCCAGAGGAGGACGCCTTGGGGTATCCCCCCCAGCCGCCCTACTCGCCCTTCCCATTCGCACTCGACGCCTCGCCCTCTCCGGGCAGCGACAACAGCCCCCCCGGCCCTGGGCAGCCCAACAGCAATTTCCACTTCAACTACAACTACAACCTCCCCCCACCGCCACACGCCACCCCGGGGTACAACCCCGCCATGATGATGCCCATGATGCCCATGATGGCTCCCATGGTCCCTCACCCGCTATTCGGCTTCCCACAGGCCGCCGGGCTCGCCATGCAGCAGCAGCAGCAGGGTGGTGGCCAGCAGAGGGCCGCTGCGGCGCCGGGCGACGGGGTGCGCGAACCATCACCCGCACCTGCTGTCCCTGCCGAGGGGTACGCACGAGACATGTATGGGCAGGTTATTTATGTGTGGGTGTGTGATGCATTCATTCGTTCATTCGTTCCTCGGTTCAGTTTGCTGCCGGTGCCGCCCAACGAGTTGCAGGCGTCCGACGCCGATGGCCGCAGAACACCCAGGGGACAACAGCGCGTCGCATTCCGGTACGTGACAACGACACCACCAGCCAGCCATTATTTCCTTCTTGTGTCCTCCATCGGTGTGTGTGTATGTGTGTATGGGTCCCCACAGATCTGGGTCCCAGCTGGAGGAGCTGCAGGAGTTCCCCAAGGGCGGGTCGCCACCGACATCGGAGGGCCCCCCGTCCCAGCAAGATGCCCAGGTGCGTCAGCAGGTGCAGCTGCAGCAGGCGCAGCACGTGGGGCTCGGCATCACCGGCCCATCCAAGGGGCCCGGCGGCTCCGTGCCGGTGGTCATCACTGAGGCCATCAGCCGCAAGGCTGGCGGCGGCAACCTGCAGTTCGACAGCCAGGCCTCCGTCATCGGACAGGGGGCTAAGGAAAAAGTCAAAGGTCAGTCAAAGAAAGGTCAGGCAGTGAGGACAGACTACAGCATGCACGATGAGGTAGTCCATACGATTTGTGTGTGTGTGTGATAATATGTATGTGGATCAGCCTCAGGGAGTCAGGAGGAGCAGGAGGAGAAGCCATCCAAACTGAAGACCAGACGACCCACTGGATTCATTCGCATCAAATGTATACATGTGCACATCACACACACACACACACGCATCACCCTCTCTCACCCACTCTCTGTCTGTCTGTCTGTCTGTCTGTGTCTGACTGTGTGTGCGTGTGATGTGATGGCTACGTCACATCAATCACATCAATCAGCGAGCGACCACACCTTTCAGGGATTGGACGGCGACGAGCGAGACCGTGTGTACAACACTGAGGAGGAGCTGGAGGACGACAGCCAGGAGGTCATCGTTGACGGCCAGGTCATGCCCATCAAACAGGCCGTCGCACTCATCAAGAAACAAAAGGGCGTACAAATCGACGCACAGGAAGGCACCGGGGAAAAAGGCGGTCAGTCAGTCAGCCCAACACACACACACACACACACACACACACAGACATAGGGAGGTCACGCCACATTCGCTATGTGTGTCTATGTGGTCCACTGACTGCCTCAGGTGTGAAGCGCACCCCCACTGGCTTCATCCACTTGGCCGTCTCGTCGGACATGGTGACGGAGCACAACACGGCCAAGAACCGAGGTGCTGACGAGGACGAGAGCGAGATGGACGACTCTACCGGACGGTCATCGGCCAAGTCACCCACCACTGGCTCTGCGCAACCTACCACTGGGTCAGCCAGCCACCGATGGATAGACACAAGGAGGGATGGATGGATGGATGGAGGAGCCCAAGCATCCCTGTGATGTGTGTGTGTGTGTGTGTGTTTCATTGTCAGTGTTCGTCAGCGGCTGGAGCCTGACGGTTCGCCCGGCAGCCCCGGCCGCCTGGTGGGGCCGCACGGTCAGCGCTTCTACGTCAGACACGGCAGCAGCGTCGAATTCGCCGGGGCAGAAGAAATACACGTATGTATGTCCGTCTGTCTCTGTCGTGAGAGGCACAAGCTACGCTATGCCCCTTGGCTTGCCCTCCCCTGTGAATGCAATGCTGGTGTGTGTGTGTGTGCAGGACCGTTTGGAGGATCCCACTTTTGACGACCCGAATCGCCGGCAGCGGCGCGGGTCGCTGATCAAGAACCGTCACCCCACTGGGTTCATTCGTCTGTCCAAGGAGGAGCTCGACACACTCCAGGACGACTACGTCGAGTCCATACGCGACACACAGTCGCTGGAACGCGTTGAGGACTCCAAGAAGGATACCGAAGATGGTCCGGGGGGGGGAGAGAAACAGGTTGGGACACAGCAGTCTGTATCTCTGTGTGCGTGTGTGTGTGTGTGTGTGTGTGTTTGTGCGGTGTGGTGTGTGCAGATCGTCGTGAGAGTGGTGCCACTGACAGCAGTGCCGCCAGCGGGCGCCGTGACAGCGGTGGCCGCCGAAGCAGCGTCACACTCAGCTCTATGCGGCCAGAGGGTACACACACACACACACACGCATCACCAACACGATGAACACGCACCCCTGTCGCATATTCCCTCTCCTGTCTGTCTGTGTGTGCATGCGCTATGACAGAGATCGGTGATTTGAAGCCAGGTGGTGGGGTGACGGTGTCTCACTCGCACAAGGCCGAGGACGCCGATGTGACGACTGCTGACGTGGCGGGTGCCACGCCTGTGTCCATCATCGGGGCCACGGGCAGCAAGACGGGCGACGACAAACGCGACTCCTTCTGGGAGAGCGATCGCGCACTCGAACGACACCAACGCATTATTGGACGCAGGTAGACAGCTTGATGGATGTGTGGGGGGGG